CGCGTACACTTCATGATATGTATCATACTTCTCAATACTCTAGCACAATCCAATTGTGAGTCACTTTTGCCTTCATTCTCATAAAAACAAACAATGACCTTATGATTTAATGTAAAAACATTTATCACATTCATTAATCTTGAATTCATTTGCCAACATAGTTTGGTCAAACTTCGCATGTCATTATTTGGGCGCTTGTTTTTAGTCCACAGAGTGACTTAACAAGTTTACAGACTTTCTTTTCTTTACTAGGAACCACAAAGCCCTTGGGTTGTTCTATGTAAATTTCTTCCTCCAATTTTTCATTTAAAATAAAAATGTTTTCACATCCATTTTTATGAATTTGAAGGCCATATTTCGCAACTAGCGCAATTAACATCTGAATTGATGTAATCCTAGTTAGTGTTATTATCTGTCAAACAAGGCTTTCTTATTGTCTAAAGCCTATAACAACAAGTCTTGCTTTGTATTTTCCAATAGTTTCATCAGCTTTCTTTTCTTTTTGTAGATCCACTTTGAACCCAAAAGTTTATTTCGTGGAGGAAGATCAACCAACTCTCAAGTATGGTTGCTCAAGATTGAATCTATCTTACTATTGTCAAACTTTTCTCAAAGAGAATGAGTCCATAGAGGACATAACTTTTAGAATATATGAGACTCATTTTCAAGAAGAAATGTTACAAAATCAAACTCGTAGGAAGTAATTTGTCCATTGACATTTACTACGCCTTCGAATCTCTTTATTAAGTACATTCTCCTTTGGTTCTTTCCAAGGTCGTTTAAACCCTTCACTTGACTATCCTGATAGTGATCAAACAATTTTCAATACAGTCTATTTCATATGAGAAATGGAAATGAGGGAACTATTCCCAAACGTGTCAAAATAGGACCTAAGACTTTGGATTGTATGTTCATTGGATATGATAAAAATAGTAAAGCATGTTGAAATAAACTTTAAGGGACGACAAACAATTCTCTATCAGGATACAACAAAGACAGAACAAACACAACTGTCTATTGCTCCCTTTCTTAAACAAACAAACATTTTTTTAATTATTATTTGTTACTCCCTTTACTAACAAACAAAAATTTTTGTTTCTCTCTTTCTGAACAAACAA